TTCCCCGGGGTGTGCATGGAAAACAACCGCAATTTAAAAGTCCGTATACTTTGAAATGTGACTAATGAATTATTGAACATGTATGTTGACATGAAACAAATGTGGAGACACGGTATCTGTGGACTGGGTAATATTGAATATCATACGCTAAATGTTTCCCGATAAATCTTTAAATTTAATGGTGATTTTATTAAATAGGCGTACAGGAAATGTGTGTAGCCTATATTCATACAAAATAGGCTGTTGCAAGCTTTAGTTTGTTTATTGTCTGATATTTATAACCATACTAATTTCGCCTACGTGCCACTTGTATATTTTATGATCAGAGAAGAATTAGGCTAATTTAGTTGTTTTTCTTTTTAAGCCTTGTCAGATTATGGTACTATCTTATGGTACTATTATGGTAACCCTTGTAATATGGTACTCCACAATCATCATATTGCCAGCAAGTGTATGCATGCATTTATTTGAGTGACGTTTTTGAGCAATTTCTGAGGAAGGGTCCCATTTGCGCAGATAACACATTTCGCGCAATCATCCTTTCATTATTCTATTCACATTGGAATTGGCGATCCAGTCCAAGATTACGACAGATCTTCGATTTTATTCCACGAAACACAGCGCCAGTAGTCCAGTAAGGAGTGCACCCACCAGAACTGCATGTCAATACAAGAGTCATAATCATAATTGTATAATTTAAGAGAATCTGGTGTTTTTTGTGCCCTTAGCAGAAATAAATCTATGGAAGTTTTCGTTTTTCCTCTGAGCCCCCCCTCCCACCCCCTTTTACTATTGCCCCACCAGTGCCTACTGTGCCCACCCCACAGCCCCATCGTCTACATTGTGTATAAGTGTGACTGTCATTTGCATAGAACTATAGATTCCTGATGTTAACTAGGCTTAGAAAGCTGCAGTACCCAGAATAATCTTGGGAGATGCAAACTGTCCACAGAAAAAGCCAGAGCCAGTTAGACTCCCGTCCTGAGGGGAATGTTAGAAACCGGGACACTGTGCCACCCTTCGCTCTTATATTATTATTCTTCAAAAATTAATAACTTATTTAATATTACACTTAGTTTACAAAGTTTTTTCTGAACTTGTCTGTACTGTCACTGGTTACTGATTTTTGTACGATAAGCAAATCTTAACTTGTGCACAGAATAACCTAGGGGGGGGGTATTATTATTATTTTTTAGCAGGATTTACCAGGACTCTAATGACCTGGCGCCTCATGTATAAACGGTGCGTACGCACGAAAATGTTGCGTACGGCCGTTTCCACGCTCACGTCGAGATGTATAAAAACGAAACTTGGCGTACTGCTACGCACATTCTCACGGCAGCTCCAGACATGGCGTACGCACATTTCTGCCCGGTTTTGTAAACGGACTGCACTCAGTGGCAAGTCATTGCTACTGTGGTTTCCCTTTTTAAACTCACAATCATGGCACCGACATTAACTGTATGTTGTTTACAAATGTACGGCTCCTGATTTTTAATCAATTTGTAACAATAAAACGGTGCATAAAATGACCGAACTATTACAACTACCATGGCAGCTCTTGCGTTATTGGAAGACATAGCTTATGGAAGAATTAGAAGAGAGCGCGTATTCAGGCCAATGATGATAACTGCAGGCTTCTAAGTCGATTCAGATTTCAAAGAGCAATCCTTTTGGAGCTGTGTGCTAAACTGGGACCAGCATTACAAAGGCAGATGATGAGGAATCGCGCTATACCTGTTGCTTTACAAGTTCTGTCCACTCGCAGGTTCTTAGCCACAGGTGCTTTTCAGCGAGAACTTGCGTACCGTTCGGGTATTTCTTAGTCGCGCCATGCCAGCTGTATGGGACGGCATAATCCGCTTGTCACCCAGATATATAAAATTTCCTTGCACTGTGGTTGAACGGGCAAATATTAAAACGCAGTTTGCAGCGATGTCCGGTTTTCCCAACGTAATCGAAGCTATCGACTGCGCGCGCATTGCTATAAAGCAAGGGCGTAACTTTGGCTGGAACTGTGGAACATTGGGGGGGTTGAGGTCTCCACCCATTACGGGGGAAACATGATTATTGGGGTGGTTGTATTAGCTGGTTTTGATTTATTGGGGGGGTACAACCCCCCATCCCCCCCATAATTTACGACCATGCTATAAAGTCACCTTCAGAGAACGAATTTGCTTATGTAAATAGAAAGCACTTTCACTCTATTAATGTATTCTATTAATGCACTGGGGGCACCTCTTGTACTATTGTCTGTAAGAATAAACAAACAGAATAAACGAAAGTAACACCGCATCTGCGCACTACGTGTTATTTATAAACATGCAAGTAATTCAAACAATGACAGCAAGTGTATGGTACCAGAAAAACTCACCCGCGATGACATCGGCGTCCCCCTCACCCGATAAAAGTGTGTCCCCAATCATCGCAGCAACTAGTTGCCCAAAGGGTGTGAGACCGGGAATTCCGCTACCTCCGGCTGTGCTGTTAAGACTCTTACGGTGAGCGGCCGCTTGTTTTTTCACGTCGATTTTAATGTCCGACCACTTCTTTTTAATTTCGGCCACCGTGCGAATTTCGGAACCAACACTTTTAACTGACTCCGCCACGCTGTGCCACTCCGTCAACTTTCGTTTATTGCTGATGCCACTTATACCACCAAATAATATCACTTTTCTTTTCTCGATTTCTGTTAACATGACCTCCACTTCGCACTCGCTGAAATACTTCTTTTTCCCATTTCCCCCATTTTATCCATTGTTATTTAAGAAAAACATAGAACAAAGCGGTCATTTATACAGATTTACATATGCAAATATACATAATTATGGGCGGGTCGGGGGGTGGGTGGCTGTGGGCTCGTTCACGTACGTAAAATTTCGAGCTCATTGGGATTTATAAAGGGAATGTGCGTAGATCTGTGCTTACGCAAAGTTTTATGCATCTGGATTTTTTCTTGCTTACGCACATTCCTAGTTTTGTCCGTACGCCATGTTTTAGTGTGAATTCTACGCACGTCGTTATACATGAGGCCCGTGGACCTTTGTCCCCTTGCAAAGATATTGGGAGCGCCACACACCCCTTTCCAGCGACCTCATGACCCCCCATGCTCTCCAAATCTATTTGCTGACTTCATAGGAAATGTCACCAGAGACGTGAATGTCACTGCCAAGGTAAGTGAGTCTCTCGAAGGTCAACATTCTCCCCACAGACAGACAGACACACTACTGATGGCTGTGTCTAAGAAGTCATTATAGGCCTGGGTCTTGGTCTTTGTCCAGGACACTCATAACCCCAGACACTCAGACTCCTCACTCAGTCTCTCAAAAGCCCTGATCAGAGCCTCCATTGACTCCACGAAATTCACAGCATCGTCGTCAAAGTCAAGATCAGTAAATCTTTCTTCACCAACAGATGCCCCACAACTGCTGGACCCCCACAACAAAATCAGCACTTCTGACTGAAAAAGAAAACATAACAGTCTTGTGATGTCTGCAGGACTCATTCTAGGTAAATTCAAGATGCTGCTTTATAACTGTGGGTGCACAGTCACAAGACAGACTTCAGGCATTCGTTTCACTGATTGCAGAAACAACATTACCGCATTGCTGGGGAGAGAGACATTGTGCCGGACTACGATAATGTCTTTATTAATTATTCATTAAGTTGCATTAAGGAGATAATGGGTGTGCTGTGACCAGTGGTTACATGCGTCAGGGCATGTTTTCTCTCTCTCATTAGGATTTCATGGCCTAACCAAATCAAATTTCTATTTATACATTGGCATATATATAAGGCTACAAATATACAGTTGTGCAAGATAAACCTCTGTAAAGTGTCTCAGTTGAACATACTGTACCATACATGTGTACTGAAAAATTGTATATTTATAATCATTATCTTTATGTATCTGTAGGGAAAATACAATTGAATGGGCTGGACATTTAGCGTTTCAAATCAAATCAGCTGTGAGAGTTTTTGGTTTTGGTGCCGGTTTCCGACAGAAACCAATATGAGTCCCAAGTTAATGAAGGAAATGAAGGGAAAATCCACATGGAACAAACATTTTACAAGGAAAACACTCACTTGTAATGAGTGGTTTTGAGGTAGTGGGATGACATGGTGGCATTTGATCTTATGAATGATGAGGGGGTCAATAAGAAGGACTGCAATTCACTCCTTTTAACTGTTTAAAGAATATCTTGCCTCAGAAGTTGTTCTTGCTCGTTAGTATTAGTGAGCGATTGATAACAGGTAGTGCGATGTTTGCAGAGTACTCAGTAAGAAGACACATTTAACCTTAGTAGCTTCTCAAGCATGTGCATTATAATGGACTGGGACTGAATGCAAACATATTATTATTAATTATCCTGATCTATTAACCTAACAACCACTGGGTCCACAACATAATGTTTACGCATTTCGTGAGCTATGAAATCATTATCCCCTAGAGGGCGTTATATTCCTACTCAGGACGAAAATAAATAATGATCCTATTACATACGACAGTTGAGATACATTTAACACGTAAGTTTCATTAGATATATTAATAGTATTAGTTCCTGCCCTATACATATTGCACTTCATCTTAAATATGTGTGTATTACTAGAGAGAAGACATTTGGTAAACGGCGTTTACAAACAACGTTTACTACCAGTCCCATCTACCAAAGAACATCGGTAATTTCAATCCAGAATAACCTAAATCACAAAACTTAATCACTCGTCATTTAATTATGAATGAATTTTATATATATTTCCCGCCGCATGAAAAACGAAACAACTACCGATTAAGGTATTGCACGACGTTGCTAATTTTGGTAATGATTTAATGGTTATAATCAATCATTATTCGACTGTTAATTGTCCAAGAAAACGACGTCAATGTCATTGAGTGACGGTAAGCAATTTCAGGTAAGGCAGTTGGGAAAAAGTTGGGCTAGTTTTCTAGATCATTAAATCAAATCCATTGGTGAGGTTTCTAGCACAGCCCCCTGGATGGTCCCTCCCTTCTGGTCAACTCAACTTTCCGCTGGGAAATTTGGTTGTTTGCTGTTCAGTGATTCCAATGTAGAAGCAGTCATTTGGAGTGACAGGGAACGGGAGACTGTCCTGATTAACGGCTTGGCACTGGGCAGAGGGAACTCTGACATACCGTATCGCTTTCACTATGAACTCTTTGACGCATCAGCTCAGCTTTTGTATAACTTATCTGATTTTGTTTGCTTCATCGCCTGGTTTCGGTAAGTCAAACCGCTGAAATTCTACTATTGTGTTAACAGTAATCATCATAAGCTTCTTAAGTTAGCATGGGTTTGACAACATATATGTATGTTTTTTGGGCTTGTATATTTTGAATTATTTGTACACGCTGTGGTTCGTTGACATGACTTGTGTAGCACGTAAATATATGCCTTGTATTATTTAATGGACATGGGGAAATCCACGAAGTGGGAATGCAAGCTCTTAATTGGGATAGCGAAATGCACAAGCCCTTATATGGATGTCGAGTCTTTCTACGTGATGAACTTGTTTCCGTGCAATAGCAGTGGCTGGTATGGGAAATATGACTGTATCATGAAGTTGGATGTTTAGAAATGAAAAACTTTGTTGTGTAAGATATTACTATTTGGTAATTGTGATGGACTTAAGTTTTATAAAACTTGTTTTTATAACACAGTGTGCCGAACTGGGGCTAAGAAAGGTACAGTATATGAAAATGCGGGACGATCTCGCTAAATGGGTTTAGAAAAAAAAAATTAAGGGGTATAAAACACCCCTGAATAGGGTCTTGAACCGCCTATAGTAGTTATTGTTTACATTCTAGGGCGTAAGTTTGGTTTCAACATTGGTAAGGGCCAAATCAGCCCCGAATCCCCCGTCCCCCCAAACACACACGGTACTGAGAATAATGGTAGGGACCCGTCGCTACCGTTCATACCCCAATCTGTGCCCTTGTCTACATTATGCAACCCATACTTTATACTCACATTTCATTGCCTTGCAAATGAATAATATGAAGAGAGCTATAGAAAAGAATGCATACAAATGTTTATTTAAACACAATGCTCTGTAATTAGCACGATAAGCCTTAAAATTAATTCATAATAATTAGTAAGTCGGTTAAATTTGGAAAGGAATACTATTCGAATGTTAGGTTTTAGTCCTTAAAAGTGTGGACATACTGTAATAGCCTACTTTCCATTTCACTTAATGTACGTGTGCTTTTAAACATAATGTAGAATGCCTCAAGGAATTTATGTAGCTCGTTTTATCAAGCTAACAAATGACAATTCAGTAACGAGAGAGTACCGGGAAGTCTTTAGAGTGTCTGTTTTATGAGAGAGACACCGAGCACACGGCAGAATTGTGTATTCTGGTTCCAGGAACTTTTGAACATGAGGTTTTTTATTACTTATGGCTCTTATCGTTTTTGTTTATACCCTTAATAAGAATGTAGGCTGGTGTAGCGATAACCAAGGAGAAGATTATGCAATGCAGGAGCGGGATGCCGTTTAAGGAATGTGGAGGAGGGAGAGCAGCAGTTTGGTTGTCATGCACAGTGAATTGAGGTGTGATGGAGTGGTAGGGAGAGTATATGGATAGTGGAGAGGGAAAATGGGCAGTGTTTATTTAAACATACTGAGGGGGTTCATTTAAAAACAAAGGACAAAGACAAAAGGAACCAACTTCTAGTCTGAATGTTCGTTCACGTCCTAAATATAGTTGTACTGTATATTTACATCACATTTACATCATTTGAGCTTGGAACAGAAAATGTTAGACAGTGCAATATATAGCTTTGGATTGGTTGCAGTTCTCCTAAAGTGGAAGAATTTCAACATGCATAACTGAAATGTGAATCTTCCTCTTCTGTTTGTAGAACGTTTTGCAATTGCTTAAATGATTAGCGATAAAGTTGTGAGAGCAGCTGGAGGGAAATTCCGGAGGTTCATCCAGTTAAATGGATGTACTGTATAAAACCGGCCAGCTGAGTAGCTGTTTCTTAGCACCTAAGAGTTTTGTGTCAACTATGTCAGGGTCTCAGCTAGAGATTTTGGAAGGCATATCATATCATATCAGGCCCCCAACCCAGACCAATCCAAATATATTCCATTTCTTAGGGCCCCTTGTCACTCAGGGGCCCTTGGAATCATCCCCCGCCCCAGGTTGTTGAGTACCTCTCTTATTCCCCTATGCATTGCCTGCTTACTTGTTTACTTGTTTGTGAAACACTGCAAGAAGCTGGAGATGATCATTCTGGACTTGTTATGTCAGGTTTCTCATAGTGTACGTGTATCATTTACTTGTGGGTTTTCAGCAACATCTCAGTCTCTGCACAATTACAACATTTACAGTATTAGCATTGCACAAGAGACTCTTATGACAGATCCTTACCACACTGCTGGTACTCGCCTGCCCAGGTGTGACTGCCTGGTCTGCAGCTTCTTCCTTGTACCTATATCTCCACATAAACACAATTATGAGCTTTGCTTTGGGGAATGATGGGTTGCCAAAAGGACTTGGGTGGAGCAAAGCTGTGTTCTTATGCTGAAACCTTATCCTCCCTTAGGCTCCAATATCTGCACATCTCGAGGGGTCAGCACCTGTAAGCAGTGCTTGGCTGTCCATGCCAGCTGCGCCTGGTGCTTCCAGGAGGTAAGGATGCAACCGCCATTTCTAGTCGTGGAGGGTAACACTCCTGTCCTTTGTCCCTCTTCATTTCTCCCGGATATTATAATGCTACCTCCACACAATTTCCCATAAAACCATGGACTGAGTGTAAGATTATACCCAAACTGTTCGCATTTGACATGTTAAGTGACTGCAGATTTTTAAAAAGCACTGCATTTTAATATATGATGTAACATGATGTCTCGGTTTGTTTGTATTTCTTTCTTCTTTTTTTCAAACACGTAAAACAGATTTCCATAAAAATCGGCAGCGGTAGTTTAACACTAGTAGTGTTACTCTGGGCACTGCTAAAATTTGTTAACACTCAGAGTGTTGAATTAGTATTATCAATCCTGTCACGCACTTATATACAAAGGTGCTGGCTGAGTATAAGTATACAGCACCACAGAGTGTAAGCACTTCACTTCTTTGCAATGAGTGAATCATAGTACTAAATGCTTGGTTCTGCAAGGCAGTAAAGATTCATCTGAGAGGATGTGGTCCCTCCCTGTATAATCTGTCCAGGCTGGTGATCCTCAACTGTTGCTCAAAGACTCTCAGATTTATCCACTTTTTCTCTCAGTTTTGTGCAATTTCAACTGTACAAGAGAGACATAATAAAGAAACCAAGCAAAAAAAAAAACATCAAAGTCGAGATGCATTTTTTTTTACTAAAATTAGTCAATGACTTAAAACACAGCCTCTTAGTTTCACCCCATAGAAGTCCAAAGGTCTTTGCTGGTGTTGGTGGTTGCATCGAGAAGTACTAAAACCGTGACAGTTTAAAAAAGTTTTTAAGAAGTTTTAAAAAGTGCCGTACTGTAAAGTTAAGGAACACTGGGTACTGTAACTTTGGTAATAACTAATAAGTCAAAGGCCAGTCCAGCCTTTTGGGTGAGAGAGAATTTTCTTTCAGTAAGTTTCCAATTAGGAGGCCATGACAGAGAAGAAGTGGAATTTTTTGCAGTTTTTTTTTTCTTTATTTTTTTCCTAACAGAAATACGTAGCTTTCTGCTGAGGGAAGCTTGTCCTCAGAATTCCCAGGGACACTTGTGCCTTTCGATACAGTCTTGCCATTGATGTATTTTTTGTGTGACAGTGCAGTTAGAGTCTCTGTGGGAAAATGTTGCGCCCTTTTCCCCAACTGTGCACTGCAGGCTCTGATGGGTAGTGAGCTCACCACAGATTGATGAGTGTTTTCTAATGTTCTCTGGCTAAGCTTTCTGGAAATAAGGATGACCCAACCCCCCAAAAACAGAACATTACTGTAACTAGAATATTACTTTGCCACTGAGGTGAAATAAAGAAAAAAAATCTATGCTTCTTGTTCTTACATTTTCCTGACGCCTGTCGTTTATAATTTTTTCTTTACTTGTCACTGTCAGTGAGAATCCTCCCTGATGACAGTCTTCACTTTCCCTTGCTCCACTGTGGCAGGACTTTGGACAGGGCACCGCGAGCTTGTCCCGCTGTGATCGCAGGGAGAACCTGGTGGCGGCAGGGTGCAGGGCAAACGCCCTGGAATTCCCGTCCAGCCGGCTGCAGGTGAATGAGGACCTGCCCCTGAGCGACAGAGCCTCCACAGCAGCTGCTGATGTCACACAAATTCGGCCTCAGAAGTTACAGATCACCCTGCGTCCAGGTGAGGCTGCTCACACACACACACACACACACACATGCACACATACAAACACATATATTATATAAAATATAAATTATATTAAAAAATATCTATATTTTTTGTGAGGACTCTCCATTCATGTCTACTATGGACATAACCTATTATTATTAATAATAATAATAATAATAATAATTAATAATTATACGGATTATACTACTACTACTACTACTACTACTACTACTACTACTACTACTAATAATAATAATAATATAATAATAATGACCCTAAATAACCAAAAAATATACTTTTGCCATTTCAGTTTTTTGATTGCAGTCACAGATTTCCCCCTTGTGGGGACTAAAAAATATCTGCACAAGGTCAAAATAACTGGTATTTATCACATTGTGGGGACATTTGGACATTTGGTTGACACAATGTAATATAAACATGACCGCATGCACACACACACACGCACACAGGTCTATAATTATATCTTTGTGGGGACTCTCCATTCATTTCAATGGGGAAGACTAATCAGCAAACCATAAGTAACCAAATAAAATAAGTCTTTTGGCATTTAAAATTTTTTGATTGCAGTTATAGATTTTTATAAAATTGAATTTCCCTGTGTGGGGACTGAAAATTACATATGTGTTCATATGTTTTTTACATATGTGTTGTGGCCTGGTTCTGCTATTATATATTTATCTATTTTTTTGTAACAGATGCTTTATCTGAAATGGTGTACTTTTTTTTGACAAAGCAGAGTCAGACAGTCCCTGGAGTAACTGGAGGTCATGGGCCTTTGCTTAAATCACTGGGATTTGAACTGGCAACTTTCCGATCGCAGGCACAGCGTTCCCAACCACATCAGCAAAAGCTGATCTTAACTTTAAAAGTGTTGCTTTTCATGTGTAAGATTCAGATTAGTTCGCTTCACTTTGTCTAATGGATGCTGAAGAAATGGCTATCCAGAATGGGGATACACTGCCATGGATACAAACAAGATGAAGGGTGGTGGAGTTTAAATAGCTTGTCACTTAGCTAGCTGAATCCTGCACACTTGTGTAAATGTTTATGTCACACGCATCTGTTTTGGTGGCCTGGCAGAGGTTGCTATCCTTTGCAGCTTGCTTTAGTTGCCTACAGTTCTCTCATTTTTTATATGCAGTCATCCCTAGGGAAGATGTTCACATCAAGTATGTTCCTCAAGAGCTAAGTGCTCAGAATGACGTCACTTTGGCTTCCTTGCAACATGTCGAAGTGCTTTTAATTAAAAGCAGCAGCTCTGATCCAGATCCAGACATGCAAGCAATTTTGAAAAAAAAAAATATATATACAAAATAAAAGCAAGATTGGCATCAACGAGACTCAAAACGAAACTGAGGGTTCTACGAATGACCTCACCAGATATGTTCATAAAAAGATTCTGTGGTTTTCTATCTATAAAAAGTGCATGGCACGAAGTCACAATCCGTTTTGATGCTAAAACTTTTATGCCAGTTTCTATTTCATGATTTCACTGCTGTTTGTCAGAAAACATTATTGTAACTGTGGGTTGACTGCAACAGCCAGTTTTAATTATTGATTAAGCAGATGCATTTTTGCAAAGAGACCAAGGAGGCAAGATGGCCTTAGCATTACTAAGCACGTTGTGAATGGGGGGAGGCTCCCCTTTCATTTCAATTTGAAGCAGGAGTCCAATTCCTACTGGCATGTGAAACTATATATTCAAAATGTGCATATATATATATATATATATATATAAATATTGGTGATGTCACAACAAACACAACAAATGACTGTCTTCGTAGTAAAGTATCTGAGTCCGTATGGTCTGCTCTGTCCCGGTTTACTTGCACACTTTTGAATCACCTTCCGGGCCTCATGAGGATGCCATAACCCTTTGCAGGTGACTCGCAGCATTTCACTGTGAAGGTCCGACAGGTAGAGGACTACCCTGTGGACCTCTACTACTTGATGGACCTTTCCTATTCCATGAAGGATGACCTTGCCCGCTTGCGCTCACTGGGCAATGACTTGGCTCTAGCCATGGGCCACACCACCAGCAACCTACGCATGGGATTCGGGGCCTTTGTTGACAAGCCCATGTCCCCCTACATGTACATCTCCCCCAAGGAGGCCGTGGAGAACCCCTGCCTCAGGTATGGGGCCATTGTTAGTTATTGTGAACTCAATGAGTGGGGCTGTTTTCCAGGATTTACTTGGAAGAATATCAGCCAACGTCCTGTTCTGATCTTCGAAAACCTTCAAAATTCAATAGTTTTAAGTCTCTTTTCACAGCAGTACAACAGTATTTCACAACCGTACAAAAGTATTGTTCTATCCCATTTGTACACCTAAATATTTAGCTTGCACGGTTCAAACAAAATGTCTTGGTGAAAGATACACAGTGGTACACAAGCAAAACTGGATCTTACATAAGAAACTGTACTGGCTTTTATTCACAGCCCCCGCCTCGAACCTTAAATTCTTCAGTGATGCTGTAAGAACAGGATATAAGTTAAACCAGTGCAACAGATATACATTAGTTGTTACCAGATGACTCTTGTTTGTTTATCATTAGACAGCACGCTGCCACAGGATGCTTTAAGCCAGCACCTGTCAAACGTGTTGTTTTCCTCCCCACGGTCACCGCAGCATTCATACGACCTGCCTGCCTCAGTTCGGCTACAAGCACGTGCTGTCACTAACGGAGCAAGTAAGCCGCTTCACGGAGGAGGTGAAGAAACAGCGTGTGTCCCGCAACAGGGACGCCCCCGAAGGCGGCTTTGATGCCATCATCCAGGCCGCCGTCTGCAAGGTGACACGCTCCCGGCACAATACCCGCCGTTTTTTAACTCGCCCTCACGTTTCCTTGAATGTGTTTGCTTTGCACGTCACATGGTTACCTGTTATCAGTTAGGAGTGACTGCATTGTAGAGCCGCGGTTGTCAGCTAGTGGTGATTACTAGCATGTAGTCAGGGTTCAAAAGGTCAGTGGAACACAATACATAAAGAACAAGAGTATCTCATTTCCTTCTTTATATCTATGTGAACAATTTCTGGTGGTTTATCTGTCTCTGTCTAGCTATCTATCTATCTATCTATCTATCATAACCTTAATTAAAATGTCAGACTGCAAACTATAGAACACACTATAAATTGACATGTGAATGTGTGCTGGGCCGGTATAGTAATAACACCACAGATGGAAACATGAAGGTCTGAGATGTTTCCCGTTTCCTTTTGCTCTCAGGAGAAGATTGGCTGGCGTCAGGGTGCCTCCCACTTATTGGTGTTCACCACGGATGCCAAAACCCACGTGGCGCTGGACGGCCGCCTGGCAGGAATTGTGCAGCCTAATGACGGGCGCTGTCACATGGGCAACGACAACAACTACAACATGTCGACCACGCTTGTGAGCGTCCCTTTGATGCCCGCACATGTGACAAAATGGGGATGAAAGCCAGGCGGATTAAACAGACACACAGCTATGTTTAACGTGCTGTTCCCATGTCTCCCCGTGCAGGATTACCCCTCCTTGGCCTTGATAACCGAGAAGATGTCAGAGAACAACATCAACCTGATATTTGCTGTGACCAACCACGTGGTGCCCCTTTACCAGGTGGGTGTGCTCCCCTCCCACCCCCGCAAATGTATCCCTTTTCTCTCTCTAATCAAGACCCCAGCCCTTTACCAGATGGGAATCCCCGACTATATCCCCCCTACTTCCCAAAGACACGGCTGTGGAGTATCGTTCAGCATTTTTTTAGTCCTTACACAGGTGACTCAGCTTCCATGCCACACAAACTCACCCGCCGCGTCCTTGTCCTTCCCTCACTTCTGTCTGCTCAGAACTACAGCGAGCTGATTCCAGGAACCACTGTGGGCACGCTGTCGGACGACTCGGGGAACGTGATCCAGCTGATCCTGGATGCGTACGCGGTGAGTGGAGCTCAGCTGCTGGGGCAGAACAGAAAGGGGCAACTGCAAGGGGCAATTGCAGAGTGAGAGCATCTGAAATCACACCCCCCAGCAAATTACACATGGCAGTTTGACATATTGCATATGCAAACAGAGCTAATGCCATAATGTAAATGAATGTGACAGACTGCACCGCAAGGAGCAGGACCATCACTAAACTGCAGTTGGTTCAAATACTGTGCTGCTGTACCTTAGAAAGGGACTCCTTTATCTATGTAAAGAACATGGTGTAACATTGTGTAAGCCCCTTTGCATAAATGCTTATTTAATAATATAAGTTATATTTAATGTGATATTAACAAATCCTAAATGACCCTGTGATCCTGACATGAATTACCCATGGGAGGGAGGATGGATAGATGGATGGATTGATAATCCAAAATTCAGCACTGATAGTAACACGCCTATAAACTTAACACAAGTGTCCACTGTCCACTTGATCTCTATTGTGTAGCGATATTATTTTTGCGGTTTTAAAATGGTCGTCTTTTGGGATAGAAAATTCGCTCAAAGGTGGAGCTGGAGCTGCTGGACGTGCCGGAGGAGCTGTCCCTGTCCTTTAACGCCACCTGCCTGAACGGGGAGGTCATCCCGGGGATCAGGTCCTGCTCTGGCCTCAAGATCGGAGACACCGTCAGTTTCATTTCCCTATTCTCATGTTCGTCTCTCTCACCTCATGCTAGCCGCCTACCGTTTATTTTATTCATAATCACAAATAACACGACACCTGCACAGAGCAGCCTTTCGCCTTAGTAAGCTGCTCAGTGCTCCTAACAGTCACCTTAATATCAGTCAGACCATGCGGCCGTCGCACTCAATCATACGTCCAAACGGTGACTTTTAAGCAACAGGCATGGCGGCTCATTAGCTAATGCAGGGCCGGGCTGTGGGCCGTAGGTCGGCAACATGGACCGGATAGAAGCAGCAGAGGGTGGGGCAGCGGGGTTAGTCAAACAAAAGGAATTTTTTAAAGGGGTAGAGGCCCAACACAAAACTAGGTCAAGGCCCCTTTAAGAAAACCCGCTGAAAAATTGGGGAATGCAGGAAAACCCACCCAGCTAACCCTATAAAATCCCAAGGCAATTAGTCCAACCAGGACCATCTGGGTTTTATTAACCGCATTACATGTAAGCACTGGGCTAGTGATTGATTGCTATGGAAATACAAGGGCCGACCTAAACCTGGCCCTGTGCCACCGCTGCAAATGCAATGGCTTTCGCATTTTTTTTTTTCCTTCCGTTGTCACAATCATGTTTCTTTCCACCAACCTGTCCATTGCTGGTTCCAAAAACGACAAATAACAAAATTATGTTAAAGGAAGACTTTTATCCTTTCCTCCACTTCTCATTTAATCGCAAACATGCCGATAAGTGCAACTAACAAGCACGTGAGGCAGAAGATTTAGCTTTGGTTAAGCTTTAGCGGTGCTGTGTGCAGTGTGTGCAGTGTGTGCAGTGCGTAGCTGAAACGTCACAATTGACTGACGTCGCTGATGTACATTATGCAGACAAAACAGCATCTGGGGATAATGTTTTGCAAAACATGCTTGTATTGGCTAATATGTGAGGCCTCGGGGGGTGGGGCGGTGGAAAGGTCGGAGAGGGCTACTCTGTCTGACTCACCTCTGCTGGTGTCAGATGACTGTCTGGCTGGGACTTCCGGCCACCAGTCAGAAGCATGTCTGTAACTCAGCACATTCATTGACTCTCTGACTCACCTGCATGCCTCACTCGCCACCAACACGATAAATGCAAGAAAATGGGCCCACCTCTTCCTGTCAGATATCACTGTAAATCAGTGGTCTCCAATCTTTTTTACATTTACAAAGAAAACATTCTGGGGAGTTACCGAATCGTCCGGTATATTTCACCAACCACCTCGGTATATTTTGACGACTGCGTGGGAATGGAAGTCGTGTTTTGCTCAGCTCAAGCTGCCCGCTCACCGCTGCTGTACGTGCTTGCTTGCGGCCTGCCCTCGCCAATCCCTGCAGGTGTCGTTCAGTGTGGAGGCCCGCGCTCGTAGCTGTCCCACGGACATGCGCAAGACCTTCACCATAAAGCCGGTGGGCTTCAAGGACGCACTGCAGATCACCGTGGACTTCGAGTGCGACTGCAAGTGCCAAGCGCAAGCACAAGAATCCAGCCCGGCGTGCAACCAAGGCAATGGCACCTACCAGTGTGGCATCTGTCTGTGCCACCCGGGGAGGCTGGGCCCGCGCTGTGAGTGTGCGGAGGGTGACTACAGCCCCGCAGAGCAGGACCACTGCAACGCCAGCCCCAGTGCGCCTGTCTGCAGCAGCCGCGGTGACTGCGTCTGCGGCCAGTGCGTCTGCCACAGCAGTGACTTTGGCAGGGTGTGGGGCAAGCTCTGCGAGTGTGACGACTTCAACTGTCTGCGCTACAAGGGCGAGCTCTGCTCAGGTAGGCCACATGGCATCCCAGCTGGGTGATGTCACAGCGACTGCATCTCTGATTGGCTGTTTGGCGATGGTGGGTGACTGTAGAGTTTCTATTTAGCATCAGTGGCTTTGGTGATTTATTTAGAAAGGTGGGAAGTTCAGGTCCAGAAAGTACAAATACAGAACAAGGTTTTGTTCGAACCAAACATTTCAGCATAAAGAGTCACATTCACAGAGTACTCAGCGAGCTGAAACAAAACCGTGGTCTGGATTTGTACTATCTGGACCTGAATCTTCCACCTCTTTTCATGATAAAGCTGCTTTCCCGAGTTTCTTTTTAAGTCTCAATAAAAACTCTGCTGGAGAGTTTCTATTATTGGCAAAAAATATATGTTCAATTTCATCCCTCTGTTATACTGGGTAAGCAATTGGCTGGACGTTCACTTTTAGTGAGTGCAGAAATGTGTGCAAAAATAATGGACAAATGACCAAATGGATTTAGAAAAATAATCCCCTGCCCTGTGCCCTGTGAGGGACTGGCATCCTGCCCAGAGTGTCCCCTGCCCTGTGCCCTGTGAGGGACTGGCATCCTGCCCAGAGTGTCCCCTGCCCTGTGCCCTGTGAGGGACTGGCATCCTGCCCAGAGTGTCCCCTGCCCTGTGCCCTGTGAGGGACTGGCATCCTGCCCAGAGTGTCCCCTGCCCTGTGCCCTGTGAGGGACTGGCATCCTGCCCAGAGTGTCCCCTGCCATTTGCTTTCTCTTTCCTGGGAAGAAAGATGGATGGATGCTCTCAATTATATTGTTCAGGACTTTAATAATACTGCGAGATGAAATTGTTATTGACAGCAGTGAACAAGCTAATATGAAAGACTCTGAGCCTTGTGTAACTGTACATATCCATTAACTGCACTGTTGAAAAGGTTAAAATGGGAAATTAAGGCCTGAACGTGCAGGTGTACAGTCAAGGAGTTAAGTTCTTCTTCTCTGAGGTTGCCACTCTGGATTCAGGTTTAACAGTGGTGCCTTCAGGCTTTACAGAGTCCAGTCCTTCTTCTCTTCTCAAGGAAGACAATCTCCAAAACACATTTTTAGTGTTTTGGTTTGTCACCTCTTGTTTTGTTTCCCAGGCAACAGCATGATAGGGCTATAGCATGATTATCAAAGCTGCATTGCTGAAGGAAACATTAGAATGTTTACTGGCCAATCAGAATCGAGTGTTTAGCGAAGTAATGTTTATGTCATGTGCTTCAAATGATACATTTCACGCCCTTGCCAGGCAGCAGTAATTAATAGCAACAGTCAGTGGTGTTGGAAAGATTTTGACATGGGGGGGGGGGGACCGGATTTGCCCTGTGCGTGCAGCGGGTGCAATGGGCACACAGCCATAGTCATATCATGAAAGGATGCAATGTAAGAAAGATTTAAAAATAATTTTAGAGTAATAAAGATTTCATTAAAGACTAACACTGTTTAGGTTGCAACTTCAATACTGAACATATCTAAAAAAAATAACTGATCCATATGAAAATTGAGTTTGTCTGATACAGGCTTACAGACCAAAGCATCACAGCAGCAGCGAAAAGAGAAAGCAACACGGTTTTACACAAAGTTGCTCTTTACTGTAGTCCAGGGGTGTCCTGGATGGCTGGAGCCCTGTGTAGCTTTAGCTCGTTCCCAGTTCCACCGCAAATGATTCAGCTCAAGGGCTGTGTGGTAATTAGCACAAGGAGGTGCAAGGAGTTGAATCAGGTGTGTTAAATGAAGGGAAACCCAAAAATGTGCAGGACTCCGGCCCTCCAGACTGCACTCAAATAGCAACAACACTCTGATAACCACATACTGTAGCAGGGAAACAGAGGGAGGTCCCATAATGGAGGGGAAGGCTCACACACAGTAGGTCAGTACTGGAGTATGTCAGAATTACACATATACAGGGTAACACACAGGCCTATCAGGAGTACAACAAGTATTTACACTAAACACAGACAGCTATTTATAACAAGACATACACAGAGTTATATACATGGCTAGTAACCATGCTTTGATTTGCTTATCCCACTGGTGCTATACTGCCCCTTCCTCAGAGGTCGGCCGTCCTGGTGACCACCACCCCCAGTCCTCACCTCAACTCTGGGACTAGTCCTACTGGTGCGTCTCCAATGAAGGGACGAAGCCTTCACTGGAGCACTGGCAAGGCTTAGCTACTGGCAGGTGCTGGCATGACAGGTTCCCCTGACCACTGACCCTTCAACTTATGTGGCTTAGAAGGGACCTGCTGCCCCTCCTAATCCCAGGATCGAGTGGCCTTGCGCAACTGCACCCTGCAGCTCACGGTGCTCCTCAGCCAGCTGGTCTTCGGGAACACGGCACATCTCCTTGTGGTCACACAGTGCGGCCTCGGCCTCCTGCTTCAACTTTGGCACCTCCTCACGTATCACCACCTGCATCTCCTCCCAAAGGCAGTCCCCGCCCCTCCAAAGAGAACTTCCGGAACTTGTCCTCCTCCTCCCGCAGCCGTCACTGTTGTTCCGCTAGCTCGCTGTGCTCCTGGGCCAGCTGGTCTTCCAAAGCACGACCTGCCTCATTGCAGTCGTGCAGTGCTGCCTCTGACTGGCGTCACGCTCGCCTTACCAGCTGTCCCGCTCAGTATCCTGCCTGCTCGGCGCCCGCCGCTCATCCAGCTCACGTTGCTCTCGAACAAGCCGGGCCTCCATAGTGCAATACATCTCCTCGTGAGTGAGAAACGCTGCCTCTGCAGCCTCGACCTGCTGGGGATCACACTTGTAGCTGAGGTCCTGTATTGGTTCCTTGCTGCTGGCAGGCTGGGAGCTCTCACTGTGAGCTGTCGGAGGCCCCCGGAGCTCTCACTGTGAGCTGGCGGAGGCCCCCGGAGCTCTCACTGTGAGCTGGCGGAGGCCCCCGGAGCTCTCACTGTGAGCGGGCGGAGGCCCCCGGAGCTCTCACTGTGAGCTGTCGGAGGCCCCCGGAGCTCTCACTGTGAGCTGGCGGAGGCCCCCGGAGCTCTCACTGTGAGCTGGCGGAGGCCCCCGGAGCTCTCACTGTGAGCTGTCGGAGGCCCCCGGAGCTCTCACTGTGAGCTGGCGGAGGCCCCAGG